CATATATGACAGAAATACGCCATGCAAGGGCGATCCTAGGATACGTGTTCTCTTGTAACATAAAAAATGACGTAGGCGATCATGGCTCTCCACAATTTCTTGTCCTTTGTAACTATTAATAAATGTTGTATTTTTGTTATCTCTCCATAACCTTTGTTCTGCCATCTATTTAATCCAGGAAGTACGTTATGCGTTGTTTTCCTCTGTCCTTCTTGCCTTCAATCTGTCCTGTGTGTATCAGATTTTCCAAGCTCTCTTTCCTGATTATGTGTCCCAGGAATTTCGACTGGCTCTTTTTTATGTTAGGTATGAGTTTCCTTTTTGTTTCCATTTTCTCTGTTGTTGCTTAGATGTCTGTCCATGGAATCCTCAGCATCCATCTGTAGGACCATATTTCTGCTGCTTCAAGTCTCCTCTTCATCTGTGAGGAAATTATCCAGCATTCACTCTCATATAAGAAGATTGATATAACATTTGGTTCTCAATGGTTATATGTCCTGTATGAGGAATCTAGTATTGTCATCTATACTCTATTGTCACACGTAATAAAGAATCCTGGTGTATGTAGTGTGTGTGTGTGTGTGTGTGTGTTTAAACCCAAAAATCATTTTTATTATTAATTTAAACAGTGTGTATTATGTCTATTGGTCTATGCATTCAAGAAATCTCAATAAAGAAAAAGTAATCTCCGGTAGGAATCGAACCCGCGCCTCCCGCCCGCCCCTATATGGGAGAATTCTCCGTATGATCCGACATGTTTTACCACTCAGCTATAGAGAACTTCCATGTCTAGCAAGGAAAACATAATTCCTTATGACGATATTTTTCTCAAAATCCCATATCTGCCCAGTTTCATATCTGAAAGGTAAACCAAGAATTTACTAAAGAATTATTAAATTTATTTTTCATCCGACATTTTTACTACTTCAAATGTAAATTCTAGTGGAAACTCGGATTTGAAATAGACGGCCAATTTTTATTTTAAACTGACGTAATGCACACTGTTTAAAATATAATTTAAAAAATGGGTCGTTTATTTCAAATACGAGTTTCCACGTTTGAAGTACTAAAAATGTTGGCTAAAAATAAATAAATCTATTAAAATTTTAGAAATATATATATATATATATATATATATATATATATATATATATATTTTTGATAAAACGTGCAATCAATTTACAAATTCATGAATTATTCACAATAAAAATTTGTAAATTGATTGCACGTTTATCGAAATTAAAATAACTGATCCAAGTGCGACTTTTGGATAATAAGTGCGACATTACTGTAATTATTGATCAATATAGTTCATGCCACTTTGACAGAAAATTTACCAGTAAAAAATTCGTTTATCCCCATATTTGTACATGAACGCACAACTGTAAAAAAAATTTAAATCAAACTTAGCGTTGCTACTGCACGCCCAAAACATTAACTCATTTCCAATAGCATTTTAGGATACAACAATACATATATTTTCGTTGTCCTTTTATTACTGAGAGAAAAAACAAGAACAACATCTATTCCATACCTGAAGATGTCTGTAGGAACAGACGAAAGCTTGTAGTAAAATAAGAACTAATGAGGCAGATATTAACCTTTGCATTTGTTTTTTTGTGAATAATTCATGAATTTGTAAATATATATATATATATATATATATATATATATACCGCATGTACTTGCGTATCATGTGGCTTTTGAAGTCCTAATTTTGAAGCTAATTTGACTACAGTACAAGGACAGGAGTAATGGATAGCGGCTTGGATAGCGTCACGGATTGAGCCGAGTTCGAATTCCAGTCGAATCCATTACATTCACTTACGTACTAATACCCTTGGGAAAGGTATGAATCCTCTTCTTCTCCTACCAGCTATGGGTAAATAACAGGACAGACCGGCTTCTATAGCTTTGGATGGCAATTGGTTTACCGCAGAAAGAAATGGCAACCTAATGCGGGAAAAAATAGCCTCGTCGGTCATGTATCGAAAGATACATGATCGTCTAAGCGTATATCACGTCTTGTACATAACTGACTGAAATGGATATGTATTTTGGTCAACGGGGTAGCCACGGCCAGCAGTAACATGCGCTAATTTTATATTTCGTCTATGATGCGACCACCTTAAAATTATCTTCAAAATTAGGTTTTCAATAGTCGTATTATACGCCAGTATATACGGTATATATATGTGGGTGCCTGTGTGTCTGTTTGAACAGAAATATGATGGCAGAGATTTGAAAAAGCAAGATGACATACTTTCATTAGAGGTTGCTTTCATCAGAAGAATACGCTATATTTTCTCCCAGTGCAAAATGTGTTCTCGTTGTCAATCAAAATTACCAAAATATTCTTTTGGAGATGTGTTAGTCGATAGGGATCTCTTATGAAATAATGCCTTCCTGCATTCTTAAGAATATATATATATATATATATATATATATATGAGTCCACCTTCTCTCCCCAACTATGGGATAAATAATAGGACAGAGGATTCATTAGCCTCAATTGAGTTAGTCGATGCATTCTTAAGGATATTAAGGATTAAATCATATCTACATGCGGCCTGGCTGTTCAGTTTTAGGAATGGAATTGTTGGAGGAGTCGTAGTCCATATATATATATATATATATATATATATATATATATATATATATGAGTCCGCCTCTTCTCTCCCCAACTATGAGATAAATAATAGGACAGAGGACTCATTAGCCTCAATTGTCAACGAATCTAGAAGAAGCACAAATCTGAATTCTATACCAGAGGAGAGTCGTTTACAGACCTTTTGAAACAATATGCATCGGCTTTCTGTATTCAGTAGTGTAAAAGTGTAGTTGATTCTAAACAAGCCGTCATCATTATAATTAAATCATATCTACAGGCGGCCTGGCTGTTCAGTTTTAGGAATGGAATTGTTGGATGGACCTCATACGTCGACGAGGACAGCGTAATCCATATATATATATATATATATATATATATATATATATATATATATATATACCGTCTTGGCTTGGCTTCGCGAACGAAGATTTATGAAGTGGACTGTTCACGCCAACTGCAGGCACGCTGATGGCTGACTCGGTCGATACGGGACAGGCAAGTCCGACCGCAGCGACTGCAATTAAAGCTCTGTTCTGGTATTGCTGCTCAGGCTTCCTGGTCCTTTCTCCTACGGCGTTTCTCCTTCAGGTTGGCCCTGCGAGAGTTCTCAAAGATGGAAACGGCCTGGTGGACAGGCGGCGCCAGGCGTGACGGTCAGCAGCAAGTGTCGACCACTAGCGATGATGTGACAGATATCGAGGAACTTTTTGAAGGGATCCTTATAACGCTTCATTTGTGCACGCCCCATGTCATGGTGGCCAGTGGAGAGTACGCCATACAGGGCGAACATGCACAGGCGATGGTCCCCCATTACGGAGACATGCCCTGCCCAGCCTAGCTGTGACTTTAGCAACATGTCTTCAATGCTGGTGATTTTCGCTTGTTCGAGGACCTCAATGTCATATATGGTATCCTGTATTTGGGGCTAAAAGTGCTCAATATCAGAGACAGAGCGCATGTAAATATAAAATTATTCCTACTCAATATCTTCTACAATAATCTATAACATAATCGTTCCAACTTATATTGATAGTCGAGTTAAAACACAACACACATGGCCTGAAGATTGCATTCACGGATGAAACAGACTGTCGCCGTCAGTGTCCATTTACAATATATATTGCTCCTGATTTGGCGGCTCAGCTTTAGTCACTATCTCATCGCTGTAAGGTTGCTTTTCTTGTTCGTATGATATGGTACCTAGTTTGTTTGTTTGTTTTTTTTTAATTTAAGCGCAATACAATAAATTATTGAAATCTAGATTTATCTGTAAGTTCTAGGCTAATAGCTTCATTTCTCGCACTTCCCGCTTGTGGAACTCCTATCCGGCGCCATGCTTTCCAGTCAACTTTTATCTGCAAAAATATAAATGCAATATCAATCGCTACCTCGATTACTCTTTTCTATTCCCGCTCATTAGTAATGTTTCTGTTCCTAATTCTTCCACGACCTGTAAACCTGTTGTGTTTTAGTGGCTTTACTGCCTTGCATAGGGTGATAACGATTAAAATATATATTTCTTTGGATGGTTCTCAAATCTTAGGGAGGTACTCAATGTTAAATGGCGGTATTTTTGCCAAACTTCGTAACATTCCCGGAATCAAATATCTACAGAGGATCGGACAAATTTTGAATGAGTTATGCAATGAGACTGTGATCCAATATACGACGAGCGGGCTATTTCTCTTTCTTTTATTTTATTTTTTTTGTTTTGTTTCTTTATAAATATCTTTATTTTTCCTTATTTTTTTTTTTCTTTTCTTTTCTATTTTATTTTTGCCATCCTTTTCGCCTTTTCTTGGGACTCCTCTATCCCATTATCCAACTCCCCCAGACCAGTTATCTAATTACAGACTCAATTATATCAAAACCACTATTCATTCTCAACAGAAACAGTTATGGAAGTTCGATTAAGTTCATTTCGATTGCCGACGGCTTTCCCCTCTTTTAGATGCAAACCTGTTTACAGATAGAGACAAAAACGATTTTGGCATCTACTCTATGGCGTATCTTAATTCCGTTATTCCTTCACGTCGTTCGTTCATTGTCTCTCCCATGGTGGCGCAGGAAAAAAGCGACAACAGAAGCCATTTTGTTTCTGGTTTTGTCAGGCAATAAATACGTTTGAGTAATTTTATCTGCTGCCCTCTTCACCGACGTGATCTATCGATACTAAATCAACAACCTAATTATTCATCTATATTCAGTCATGGCTCTCCACAACTTCCTATCCATTGTAGCTCTTAATAACGTTTCTCTTTTTACTAGCCCTCACAATAGCATAGATAGGTCATTCGCTGTTTTCTTTCTGTCTCACTTACCAATATGGCCCTGTGAGTGCCAAATTCTCTAACCCTTCTTTCCTAATTATATATCCTAGAAATTTCAACGATCACCGAAGTTAAGCAACGTTGAGCCTGGCTAGTACCTGGATGGGTGACGGTTTGGGAATACGTGTTGCTGTAAGATTGGATGTACTGGTGGTGTAACAGATAACGGCTCGGAATTGGAAATCGGAGAGCCGAGTTCTAATTCCAGTTGGGTTCGTTATATTCATTTAAGCGTAACTATCCATGGAAAGGTATGAATCCACCTCTTTTTACTCCCCAGCTGTGGATTAATTAGTAGAAATTGTGTCAGTAAATCATTATCTCAAAAACATTCTTACAATCTCTGATTCCTCAATCTAAGCCGCTATCCATTACTCCACCGTGCTTAAATGGTCTTAGAGAATCAAAACTGGTTTACGTAACGAAACGACAAGTTGATATCTGCCGCTTCTTCCCACTTTCTCACTCTCCAGCAGCGAATTCTATCAGTAATCTGAACTACCCTCAACACCAGACTAAGCCTTTAAGGTACCCCCAGCTACCTCAATTAAGGATTCAGTATAGAAAATACGCACATAAAAAAGAAAATAAACAAAAATAAACAATGCTGTAAAGTGCCCGACCCACTTCCCAAAAACTTATATTTCAATGACCAAATAGAAGAATGTTGATTTTGGAAAGTTGGTCGGACTGAGAACTTTTCAGCACTTTCTCGAAAGTGTGGGGTAAAGTGTTAGCTAAACGGATGCCTTTTTTTTTTTTTTTTTTTTTTTTTTCAAAATAAAAAAAAAGAAAGAAATCCCTACGGTTGACTGAAACGAGGTAATGAAAGAAAAAACGAAAGTAAATGAAAAAGAGTTAAAACCTATGAAAGAAAAGAATGATGAAAGGACAAACTTGGGTAAAGATGAGAGAAGGACAGTGGATAAAAGCGTTGGTTGATGTGATCCCCCCAAAAAAACAGACTTCACCGAGCAGAGGGAACAAAAACTTGCAGAGATACTAAACAGAATTAACTGATACTGAAATAAATAAATAAAAAAAAAACATGGAATTAGAACCATTTACCCCGATGGATTAAATAAAGGGTGCGGTTCAAAATTCCAATACATATCACCTGAAGAAGACTGGAGAATACAACGACCAAAACGTTATGAATATCGCATTAAAGATGGGGGCAATAGTCCGAGCGATATAAATAGTGTAAAGAGTTACAAAAGCTCATCTCAGAAATATAGACTGATGTTGAGATGAAAGAATGTAGGTAAGGAAAAACATGAATCGGTAAGAAGAGAAAAAAAAATGAATGAAATTTAATGTTAAATAAAGAAAGTCAGCGTAAATTAAGGAATGAAAGAAAAATGAAAAGAAAATGTTGAAGGATGAGAATGAAAAAGAAAGTGAAAATACGGATAAAATAAAAAAAATAATAAATGAACGAAGTTGAAAGAGAAGGAAATAAAACAGAAGCAGAGACGTGATAGAAAAGCAGGGCAAAGAAAAAGGAGATGGAAAATAGGAATGAAATATGAAAATAGTGAATGAAAGGTGAGCAATGAAAAATGTGGAAGAAAAACACGAATTAAATATAAAAGGGAAAATGGTGAATGAAAATCAAGGAATGAAAACAGAAATAAAATATGCGTAAATATACAAAGGAAATATAAAGAATGAAAAAAAAGAAATGAAAAGAAAGCGAGAAAATAATAAGAATGAAATAGAAAAAGAAAAACGATAAATGAAAGGTAACGAAAAGGAATAAAAAGAAGAGGAAAACAAGAATGAAATATAAAAAGATAAATGGCGAATGAAAGATAAGGAATGAAAAATATAAAAAATATGAATAAATATAAAAAAGATAAATGGTGAATGAAAAATAAGGAATGAAAAATAGAAAAAATATGAATAAATATAAAAAATATAAATTGTGAATGAAAAATAAGGAATGAAAAATAGAAAAAATATGAATAAAATATAAAAAGATAAATGGTGAATGAAAAACAAGGAATGAAAAAGCGAAGAAAAATATGAATGAAATATAAAAAGTAAGGGATGAATGCAAGAAACTAAATCAAAAAAAGAAGGAAAACATGAATGGATTATAATGATAAAAATGATGAATGAAAAACATTAAATAAATATAATTTTAAAAAAGGAAAATAAATTTTAAAAAGGAAAGAAACGTGATGCACGAAAAGGAAAAACTATGAAATGAAAAAGAAAATGATATGAATTAAATGTAAATAATAAAGAAAAATAATGAAAGAGAGAATATAAAAAAATAAAAATGATGAATGAAAAAGGAAAGAAAAAGAATTAAAAAAGGGAAAATACGAGAAAAGGATGATTAGAACTGACGTAGATGCAGGATAAGAGAAGGAAAGCAACTAAAATCAGAATATATATATATATATATATATATATATATATATATATATATATATATATATATAACTTGTAAGACAATCGATCCGAAGGAATGAAAAAACCTAGCGGAGAAAGTATAAGAAACAAAAGAGAAAGCATAAATGAAGTAAAAATATATAAACTCACCCAAAAAAAAAAAAAAGAGATGTTTCCTTTTCCCGCTCACAAAAAAAAAAAAAAAAAAAATCCTCCTTTCCCGTCAACCTGAATACATACTACCCATCGACCAGATTGGTGATTACTAGCCGCTGATAACTTGACCGCAGTCTGGTCCGGTCGGGTCCTGATTAATCCACAAGTATGTCAGTGTGCTAATGAATCAACCACTTGCCGCCTTATGTCGGGGTGTCAGAACAGGGTGAGTCAGGGCGTTGTGATGATTGCGAAAAAGTTAAGGAGACTGCAGTGAAATAAGGGATGTGGGCTGGAGTTGTCGTTTCGGACAGTGAGAGGCTGCCACTTCGACTGATAACCGACATTTCTTGTTAATTTCGGAGCGGAATCGTCACAAATGGCAAATTCCCAGCTGCAATTAACTGACGCCGAAAGATCACGCCTGTCTTTTGTTTCTTACCCTGAGGCCGTCACCCCACACCTCTCGACCTGGACCCTGATTCTCGCCTAGTATTTGTAGCGAGTATCTTTAAATTGACTGCACTGCCCTAATGATCAATCAACGCTGTAAAATTTTGCCGACACTGGTTATAAACGGCAGAAATATTGTAATTGGATCTCCATCCTTTTAGCCCAGGGTTTCCCAACCTGGGTGATGTCGCCCACCCGTGGGCGATTTCAACTGTTGGGTGGGCGATATAGGATTTTGAGTATTAAAAAAGCATTTCAACACATGCTATTCATAAAAAAATATTTAAAACAGAAAAAGGAGGCCAATTGAGAATAACTGAGTTCTGTTTAAAGATAAGATATAAATATCCCCGCAAACAACGAATATTTTGATATATTCTATAGTTTGGGAAGGGTCATTAACATTTAAATAGTTCTTCAGGCAAAATAACTTTCTTTTTCGGATATAAATCAGATAAGGGAAGACCAACAACAACAAAAAATATTCGCTGAACTTTTATTAGTTTTTAGTAGTGCATATATTTTTAATTTTATAATTAGGAACAAAAATCGTTAAATTTTCTGTCAACACTTGCAAAGCTAAGCCTAACATTAAAACTAACCTTGACCATATAAACAAATATATATATATATATATATATATATATATATATATATATATATATATAGTTTTCAATGGTCAAGTTTGCTTTCGTTTGTCCTTTAATATAGTAACAGCAGCAGCCACGGCATGTCAGCGTTATTTGTTGCCTCCCTTTGGTATTTTATTACTACATCATAAAGTCAGTTTATGAACCAGTAACAAACGTTTACAAAATAATTTTCCGTCCTGGGTAAGACGATAAACTACGTCCAAGAGCAAGGCCTCTGATCAGGAGGTTTTGTGGAGCGTGGAACCACCTCTTAATTGCTGGTGTTCCCAGGTCCACCCTGTCCCAGGGTGGTAGCACCTGTTAGGGTCCCGGCTATGGGCAAATAGTTAACCCCCACCAAACTGAGGTAAAAAAAGTGTAAAAATAGGTTTTAATACCGAAATATTTTGTAAAAAATTATAACCAGCAATAAATTTTTGAAAAAAAAAATATTGCCAGCAATAAAAAATTTGCCGACATTAAATAATCCTTTGAGGTTGATATGCCGTAAAACAAACCAAACCAAACCAATATATACTGAGATAGATAGATAGATAGATAGATAGATAGATAGATAGATAGATAGATAGATAGATAGATAATTTTTCCATTTAAAAGTGGGCGATGACTTAAAAAATGTTAGGAAGTCACACTTTAGCCTTTAGTTTGACAAATTACGATAATTCTTAGTTTATAAGAATCCAAGAATTAATCGTGTATGTTAATAAGATATCAGTGACGTCAGGTTTGGGGTTTATTAAGCAAATACAGTTGGCGGCAGAAATTGCTCCCACATATACCACCCAGAAATACCTCTCACATAATGGTATGACATTAGCAAATATGGGGTCTTCATCAAGCTGATGTCTTACCATTATGCGGGAGGTATTTCTGTTGTACTCTGTAGAAGAAATATGTGGCAATAGAAATATGTTTCTGCAGAAGGATGCTGAGAATACCATGGACGGAAAGGAAAATGGAGACAAAAAAAGGACACTTAGATTCAGAAAGAGACAGCTGAAATATCTTGGACACATAATGAGGAAGATGGGTTTGGAAAATTTGAAACTCTCAGGGCATATCGAAGACAAAAGTTTAGGGGACGAGAGCAGGACACTTACCTGACGAGCTTATGTGAATGGATGGTGGAACGGACAAACGTTACTAAAGGATAAAAGGTATAGGAGTTTGTAGATAGATATCCGTAATCATCCACGTCCCTAAAGGACACGGTACAAAGAAGAAGAAGAAGGAATGATATTAAAAAGATAATTATGGTAAGAATTACAAAGGATAGGAAGTTGCGGAGAGCCGTGATCGCCTACGATCTGACACGGCACATAGTAGAAGATTAGGTTAAATATCTGTCGAAACAATAGGAACGGTGTGTAACTTGAAAAAAGAGGATTTGTCCAAATTCCCTGAACTAATATATATATATATATATATATATGTTATATATATATATATATATATATATATATATAGTGGTCAATATATATATATATATATATATATATATATATATATATAGATAGATAGATATATATATATATAGATAGATAGATAGATAGATTTCGAAGAGGATAAAATCCAGTTAGCGCTCAATGTACAAAACAGCACAAAATTATAATATAAAAGTCTCAAACACTAATATGTTTGTGTGTGTGTATATATATATATGTATATATATATATATATAGAGAGAGAGAGAGAGAGAGCGTGTGTGCTTGTGTGTGTGTGTGCCTGTCTGTCTGTCTGTGTGTAAAATTGCCTCAATATTTCTTGATTCCGAACCCTTTCTGTTAATCTACTGTCAAATTTCAAAGATTTTTAATGTTATTATACATGGTATATAGCGCTATTTTAAACAATCGAAAGTTTATATATATATATATATATATATATATATATATATATATATATATATCGAGTACGGCCAATGTATCGCCCAATATATATCTTTATTTAACTACTTCTCGGCAATATTTATTGTTTTAAAAAAGCGGCCATTATAACTGTAAAAAACCCTAAACATATGGAAGTGAATTTAAACATTTTCTTTATTCTTCAGAATTGAAAACAAAAATAATCAACATTATTTATTTTTAGATTGTTTATTGGAACTGTCGGCAAAACATCGGCTAATTGCCAATTGATTCAAACTTTATAAAATGGTAAATAGTAAGGATTCCCGTATAGTTGGTTCATATATTTTAATAATTTAGTAAATGTTTATAAATTTATGAAAAATCTTGTTTTCATATCTATTTCTTTATAAATTGGTAAATGATAAATATTACATTGCATTTTAGTTATAAATTTATTAGTTTGTAGACTGTTCATTATTTACATTATTCGGACTATTGTCCTCATCTTTGTCGCTATATTTATCACAACGTTTCGGCCGTTGTTCGCTCCGGCCTTCTTCAGGTGGTTGGAATGTCGAACCAAACCTTTTATTTTGCTCACTGGGGTAGACTGATCTAGTTCCACGTGCCATGTCTAATGGATATCAGTTATCTCCTGAAGGACACATGGCACAGTGGATAAAGGCGTTGGTTAGATCCAGTGACAGGACCCAAAGAGTGTGAGTTCAATACCCGGTTAAGGCAGTGGAGAACTTTCAGAGGGAAAATTAACAGGAGATAACTGATATGCATTTTTGTAGGTACATTTGTTCATGTTTAGCAATTCTCCTGTATGTCAGTAAATGCTGGATAATTTCCTCACAGATTAAGAAGAGAGCTGAGGCAACAGAGATGTTTTTGTTTTAATTATTTCTGAGAATACCATGGACGTAGCATGTTAACAACAAGGAATTATTAAAGAAAATGAAAACAAAACAAAAAAAAACTTATACTTAGAATCATAAACGGATAGTTGAAATTTCTAGGACATATAAGGAGGAAAGAAGGCTTGGAGAATGTGGCACTCACAGGATATATATTCCAATTCTAATCATCGCTTTTTAAAACAATAAATATTGCTAAAGAGTAAATGTAGTTAAAATAAAGACGGTGTTGTGGGGAAAAGCTTCCTTTTGAGGATCCATTTTTTTTTTTTTTTTGGCGGGTGCGAATGTCCATGTTTGCTAAAATGGCTACTAGTTTAGCCGAAAGCGCTTGAAATCAACTTTCTTTTGGACAATTTTTACACAAAGAAAGCGCCAGTCAATCTTCTTCAACGAAATCTATATAATAAATGCGAATGTCAGTGTGTCACACTATTCCAACGTAAAGGGACACAACTCTCAATAAGACAATTCAAATGAAAAAAATTACTGTTATCAAATTATAGTTTTTCAATATAAAATTGTCCGTGTTTCAAAGGCCGTAGTCCAACATATCATACCATTTTGGAATAAGGCCTACTCTGCGAGCAAATTAAATCCGGACCAGCAATCCTGAAAATTTTGGTTTCCCAAGTTTTCATTACTGCGATTATTTTCGGCGATTTTTTTACGTGATTTTTTTGCGATGGATTTTTTTTTTTTGTATGATAACAATTGTTATAACTTGGAAATACATTTGGGAATAATCGAATTTAACTGCGAAATCCAGCGAAAGTCACCCATTAAGTAAAAATAATTGGTCCTACGGAAAGTAAGGACCAACGTAGATCAAATTACCTTTAAATTAAGTGACCGCAGAAGAATTATCGTTGAATTTTTAAAAGGTAACCTTAAATATTAATGCAATATTTAAATGCAGCGATCAATTCTTCTGTAGTTTATCGTTGCCTATCGCATGTACTCCACCATATCTATTGTGATGAAGGTCTAATCAAGAGCCTTCCGCAAGAGCTAGCTTAAATGCCACCCTAGGGCGGCTTTTAAACTAGTATGTATTAAAGAGAAATTACTGTCATAATACATAACTCTCTCTCTCTATATATATATATATATATATATATATATATATAGAGAGAGAGAGAGAGAGAGAGAGAGACAGACAGAGAGACAGACAGACAGACAGACAGAGAGAGAGATTTATAAAGAATTAATGTTTCTATTTTAATCCGATATTTTTCTTACTTTAAAAGTGGATAAAAATGAGGATAAAAAATTATCCGTACTTTCGGCATAACATATCTTTAGGTTTGTTACACTGCCTTCTGCTCGTGCGTGCTTCTGGTCGCGTGATCGACGTTTGAGCTTGATCGCGCCAGTTTTCTTGTCGCTGTTACAGTGTACACATGGTCGCTCCGCTAGCAGTGTGTACCAAGGAGGAATAAGGAGCAGTTTTCCGCTTCGTCAAATTTATCAAACTTTGTCTGGATTCTATATCCTATTAATAAACACACTTTTTTTAAAAATAAAAATGAAGCGTCTAATAAAAATACGAGCATCTACTATAATAACGTTTATATATATATATATATATATATATATATATATATATATAAAGAGAAAAACAGACAAATTAAGAATCCATCGTTCTTAGAATTTACTTTTTTTTTTAAAGTGTTCGATACAACTCAGAGCAAAAGTTTTCTGTCGCCTGATGAGGAAAAGATTTTAAGTTCTGAAACAGAAATTTTTAATAGCTGATATAAAATTTTATATATATATATATATATATATATATATATATATATATATATATATATATATATATATATATATATATATGACGTCACACATTATGAAATGGACAAAGTCCGACAATTATTTTAAGACATTTTTTATGTTTATACATTCTTTTTATAGATACAAATGTTTAAATACATGTTCTATTTATAATAAACAGTATTAAACAACATTTACTGGCCTGAATGTCCGAGAAATTCTCATAGAAATTATTCGTCGTCCGACAGGTTTCGAACCTGTATCCTATACGGAACCGTCATTTATGTGAAAAATTATATATATATATATATATATACATATATATTATGCACTGATGTTTAACGTTGAAACATGATATCCAGTTTTGTAGTGGGTATGTACAAGTTCTAATGTAACACTGCATGATAAATAAATATTTAATGCTCTACTTTTTGTATTGAGCCCTGTTTTAAATTAATGATTTGAACGCGGAAATTTTACTCTTAGTTCTTACATTTGTATATACATACATACATATATATATATATATATATATATATATATATATATATATATATATATATATATATATTCTAACATAAAAATATTATAAAATCACTACAAAAATAGGCATTTTGTTTCAACACTTCTGGTGTCTTATCAAGTGATAGTGTTGAACACCAGAAGTGTTGAAACAAAATGGCTATTTTTGTAGTGATTATATAACATATTTATGTTAGAATTTTCGAATAAATAATTATATTTGCTCTAATCTGTATTGAGCACTCTTTTAAGAATAGTATTTGTTGGTTATTGGAATCTATTCCTTATACACCAATCCTATACTTGGACATATATATATATATATATATATATATATATATATATATATATATCCCATAAGTTCAATGGCAAATCTACGTTATTTTTTTTAAAAATATTTCATTTTTTCTTCTTTTTCTCAAAAATTTTGTCCAAAAAAGGAATTTTTAATTAATCGTAACATAGAATTAGACTGTTATATTTCACTGGTCATAGGTGCTTTATTCAAAGGGGTGCTTAATAAATGAGACTTAGGA